TTTATAACTAATATTTAATTAAACCTAAAGCTATTTATAAAGATGCTATTAATATTATTATCCTAGCCTTATAAGCCCTTTTAATCTTATCTTTAATATTTTATAAAACCTTTATTATCCTTACTACTAAATAAGTTAAGTTAAATTAATTAAATAGAATATAAATAAATAAATAATAATAGTAATACTTTAAAAAGGGTATTACTTAAGTTAACTATAAGGCATTATATAAAAAAATAATAGCTAAATATATTAAATTTATAAGAATAATAAAATTACTAAAAAGCAGCTTACTTAAGTAATATTTATAACTATTAAGGTTACTTAATAGCTAAATAAAGGCTTTAAGATTCCTTATTATTAAAATAAGGGGCATTAATATAGGAAGTACTAGTATATAAGTGGCAGGGGGTTAATCTGGTTAAAGGCATAAGTAAAAGCTATATGCCCGGTCTAGTAGATAAGATTAATTAAGATAAAAGACATACTTTTTAACAGGTTATAAGCCCGGCTTCCACTTAACTTTACTAAGTACTAATACTCCTTATCTTATTAGACTATTAATCTTGCTAGCTGCAGTGTCTTAGTTAGAAATTGCTATATAACAGGGATATAAAGAATAAGCACTAGTTAACTAACCCAGACAGGACAAGACCTAGCCGTTAACTAAGACAGTTAAGATTACTATCCTTAAATAACCTAATAGCTAGTCCTAGACTGTAATAATTGCTATAACTTATATAGAGTGGCTAGGAAATATAGGAAGACTAAGGGAATAAGAATAAAGACAAGACTAACAGTAACAGCCTGGATAAAATTAGGCAACTGACCTTAGGGCAAATAAATAAGGATTATAAAGATAAGGGAATCTTTAGCATCTTATTGCTACTAAGCAATACTAATATATTTAGTTATAAAGTCTGCACGCCACTATAAGCTAGCCAGAGACTAATGCATAACATGGCTTAATAACGCAGTAACCTAAGAGACAGCATCACGGCTAGAGACCTAGCTAGAGAAGAGGCTGGCCTTAAAATTAAGCTTATAGTAGTTAACGCCCTTAGCCTTAAATCGCTCCTAAGACTAGAAAAATAAGAAGACTACCTTACTTAAGAATAATAGCTAAAGGTAATTATTAACCTTATAGGTGCTAAGGATCTCCTAAGCGTCTATAACACTAAGGATAAAGTTCTAACCTCCTAGCTAGATGTATAAAAGAGTAAATAATAATAATATATTAGGATCTTTAAAATAATACTGTCTATCTTGCTAAGTAAGATGCTAAGTAAGGAAAGAACTGTCTAATATGTTTTTTAGCAGACTAAGGAAGAATTTTAAGAGACTAGCCTTAGCGCGCTTTAGACAGCATATAAGGAATAAGAGGACTATAGTCTTAAATCCTTAGACTCTATAAGGGACTTTGCTTAACAGATTAAGACTATTTAAGAAAGGTTCCTATAGGCAGGAAATTAGCATAAGCTCCTAAATAGCTATCTTATCCTTAAGTTTATTAATAGCCTTAGTAACTAATACCTTATCTAGTATATTAACTTCTAGATAAATTATAACTTAGACACCTTCCTTATACTAAATAGCGTTATTAGAAGCGCTAAAGCTAAAGAGGTTAGGCAGAAAAGTAGTACTGCTAATATATAAGCCCTGCTAATATAGAAATGCATGGTATTAATAAATAATAAGGACTTAATAATAGTAAGGGTGCTATGCTATATGCATTATAGAAAAACACGCTATATAAAGGATAGCTGCTAGGAGCTATATTTAGAGAAAAAGAGGCGCTAGGATGATAAAAAAAGCTATTAAGGCTGTCCCTTAAACCCTAACTTAAGCAAAAAGAACCCTGCCTTTGCCACCCTTAAGGCTAGAGTTAAGCTTAATAAAGATAATAACTTCCTTATATCTTTTTAAAAAGAAGGATGGCTTACTGCAGTCTTTAAGCTGTATAGGTGCTTAACTCTAGCTGCAGATAGCATGCTATATACTGCAGAGAGGAATTTCTCCTAGGGTTACTGTAACTATACAGCAGCATGCTTAATAGCATAAGGGACTTAAAGATTATAGTAGAAGGAATAGGCATAGTTATTTAATAATATATAAATAAAAATCTGTCTATTACTATTACCTTTATAGGCATACTATTTACCTTAAAGCTTAGTCTAAACCTAATCTCTATTACCTAACTGCTTAACCTAAGGGGGGAGATGCGCATAGCTTAAGATAGCTAGAAAATTAGAAAAGGCAAGATTAAGATTATAGCTTAGCGTTTTAAGAAGCTGTTTATCTTATAAATAGACTCTCTGCCTATATAGGCACTTATTTTATATATAAAATAACTTAAAGACCTCCCTGCCCTTAATTTAGTAATAGACCTAGCATTTATATAAGCTCTTGTCTTATATATAGTTAATCCTTAACTATAACTATAGCATAACTAGATAGGCTATTTTAGCAGTAATAACCTTACTAGGCTTAAGGATATAGTTAATAGAATAGACATTGCTTAAGAATATTACCTTTATAAGCCTTATCTTTATAGGTAAATAAGAGAAAAACCGTACTAAGGATAGCTATAGTAAGGGGAGTATATCTTTAATATAATCTATGTTAATATTTATAAACTATTCCACATTATTAGTTATAAAAAGGAATAATACTAGATCACACTTATTAATAGCTATAGTTGCTTTAGCAGAAGTAGAGCTATTAAAAATAGATAAGGCGCCTAGGGATTTATATAGTATTTTATATAATACCTAGAAAATAAAGAGCTATAGGGCTGCTGCTGTTAAATTATATACCTTAATAAAGTAAAGGAGTTTAACAGTTATAACTTTAACATCTAGGCTATATAGCAAGGGACTATACTAAAGTTATCTCTAATAGAGCAACACTAATCTAATAGCATTGCAGAAAATTTTAATATTATAATCTGCAATAAGTTGCTGCCTACTTTTATAAGCAGTAATATACCTAGATAATACTAGTTAGAGGTCTTAAAGACAGTTAACTATTTATAAAACCGCAGTCTATATAAAGCCCTAGATAAAACACCTTTTAAATACGTCTTTAGATAATAACTGAATATATTAAATATTAGGACTGTTAGGACTGCTACTTAGCACCTAGTCTTATAAGCCTAGAAAAAGAAACTTAATAATAAAGGAATAAAATGCACTCTCCTTAGCTTTATAAGAAATAGCATTTATTATCTCCTTACTCTAGGAGGGAGAGTAATTAGCTTATTAAATATGCATTTTAAATTAGACATTGTCTCTGCACTACCTATAATTATCACCAGGTCTATAAGCATATAGACTGACAGCCAGTTACTAACTAAAAAACAACATTAAAAAACAAGCTTTATAAAGTCTATAATTAACATAGTGCTACTATAACTAAGATTTAACCCTAAGTCTAATGCCTATAAACAACCTAGACTATAAGATAATAAGAATAAGGTTCTAGGGCATCCTAAACTTTAATATCCGCTCTATAGTAAATGCTCCTTATATAACATCCTAGCGCTTACAGCCCTTATAGAGTCGCACGCTAATAACATTAAACCTATAACCTTTAAGGAAGCAACTTGCAGCTTCTTTAAGGATTAATAGCATAGGGGGATAATAAATAAAATCTAAGCCTTATAAGAAAATAATATATAGGATCTTATTAACCCTAACCCTAGCATAAACATCTTATAGGGAAAATAGGTCTATAAGCTAAAGAGAGGACTAGATAACTAGGTAACTAGATATAAGGCACACTAGGTTATCTAAGGCTTTAAGCAAATTGCTAGAGTTAACTACGCTAAGATATTTATATTAGTAGTTAAACCTATAACCTATAAGGCCCTGTTTATAATAGCTGCTACTCTAGACCTAGAAATTAAGCAAATAGATATTAAAATAGCATTCTTATACAGCAAGGTTAAGGAAGACATCTATATTAAACAACCTACAGGCTACTAGGATAACTTAAGACAAGTCTGCAAGTTAAAAAAGGCGCTATACAGCTTAAAGCAAGCACTAAGGGTCTAGTATAAAACTCTTACTAACTTCCTCACTACCCTTAGCTTCCAGGCAGTATTAGCAGACAGCAGGCTTTATATAAAAGATATTTATATTAACGACCTGCTGCTAGTTAGTAAAGATAAGCTAAAGATCTTAAAATTTAAAAACGCCTTACACTAACGTTTCTTTATAACCGACCTAAGACTATACTATTACTACCTTAGCATCTGCATTTATTAAAACAGAAAAGCCTAATTAATTATTCTTAACTAGCAAGGTTATATTTAGAAAGTCCTCTGTTAATATAATATAACTAATTGCACACCTATGCTAATACTAATAGTTAAGAAGAGATTATAAAAGGCTAAGGCCGATTTCCTATACTAGACAGAGGAAAGAAAAAAGTATTAGTTAATAATTAGATCCTTAATATATCTTATATTAAGCATACAGCCAGACCTAGCATACACAGTCTCTGTTATTAGTCGCTATACTAGTAATCCTAATAAATCTTATAGGCAAGCAGTAAAATAAATCCTTAAGTATATCTAAGGTTTAAAGGACCTCTGCCTTATCTTCTATAAGAACCTGCAACTGCTATATGGCTATAGCAACTTTAACTAGGCTAGTGACCTAGATACCTATTATTTAACTTTAGGATATGTTTTTAACATTAGCAGCAGCAAGATAAGCTAGTTATTTAGAAGATAAGCTACTACCATACTATCTAGCTATAAAGCTAAATATATAGCATAGATAAATATAATAAAGGAAGCCATCTAGCTGCAGAGGCTATTTATAGAGTTATAGACCGATCTTTAGGGGGAGAAGTCGTTTAAGGACTTGCCTAGTGCTGTTATTATCTATTATAATAATTAAGGGGCAATCGCACTTATAAAAAACCCTATAAATCATAAGGGATTAAAGCATATTAAAACCTAACACCACTTCGTTTATAAGAAAGTTAAGAAAGGAGAAGTCAAGCTTAAATATATACCTACAGACAAGATAGTAGCTAACAGATTAACTAAGCCACTAGGAAAAGACCGCTTTACAAAATTCTATAAAGCCCTAGGTCTAAGGAAACTTATAGATGTAGAAATAGCTAGCAAGGAAGTTTAAGAAAATAACTAGTTACACTTAATATAAAAAGGAAGGATAGTCTTAATAATATTACCAGTACAGAGTCAGTAAGAGTAAATATAAATCTACTACCTCCTTATAATGCACAGGGCCAGTAAGAGCTTGCTTTTATAGTCCTATATTATTAAGTAGGAGTATTAAAATAAGGGGCACTAACATAGGAAGTACTAGTATATAAGTGGCAGGGGGTTAATTTGGTTAAAGGCATAAGTAGAAGCTATATGCCCGGTCTAGTAGATAAGATTAATCAAGACAAGAGACACACTTTTTAATACTTATAACTAGTATAAAACTAAAAAGAAGTCTAATTATATTATAAAGTAGTTTTTAATAATAAAAAAGCAGCTTAATAGCCTAATTAACTAAAAGACCTAGAAGTTAGTTTAAAGACTTAAAAATATAATTATTCTTAATAATAAATAGGTTTATAATATTAAATACTTTATTAATTAAGACTTTATTATTAAAGTAAGACTAGTTATATATAAAGACTAGCTATAAGGATTAAACTATATTATTAAGGATATTTATATAATAGTAGCTTATTTAGTATTAGTTAAAGTTTTTTATATAATAATAGTAATTTAAAACTTAAAGTAATAGTAATTTAATATTATTACTATATTTCTTAATACTAATATTAAAAATAAAGTATATATAAAATAACCTTAAGGTTTTAATAACTATAATAGCTATATTTACTAACTTTTATATGCTTTATATAATTATTTTAGTATACCTTTATAATAGTTTAAAAAGGTAATAAACCTTTTAACTATTATTAGATTTTAACTTATTTTTTTAAAGCTTTATATATTTATAAGTAAAGATAATATAATACTTATTCTATATATTAAGAATATAATTATTATTATATTAAAGCTAGCTATAATTAACTAGGCTATTAAAAAGCTAGCTAAGCTATTTAAAATTAAGGCTTTAAGAGATATAGCTATTTTCCTTAATATTAAAATTAAAAAAGATTAAGCTAATTATATAATAGTCCTTCTATAAGCTAAATATATTAATAAGATCCTCTTTAAGTTTATAAATAATAACCTAAAGCCTATTAAGACTTTATAACTACTTAAAAAGTAAATTCTTACTAACTAAAAGAAGAATAAGGTTATTATAATATTAAAAAAGTAGTTAAAATAAACTAAAAGCTTAAACTATTTATTAATTAATATAAGACTAGATATTATATATATAGTTTAAAAGCTTTATAAGGCTAATATAAGACTTATAGCTAATTATAAAAAGATCTTAAAATATATTCTATAATACTTTAAAAAGACTATTAACCTAAAAATCAAGCTTAAAGGTAAATATAACTTTTATAAACTTAATCCTTATATTTATATAAATATCTTATTTATTAATAACCTAGCTAAATGCTTTTTTATAGCTAGCTATATTATCTTTATTAATAATAAACTAGTTTATTAAAAATTAAAAAAATAAATAATTATAGCTATTAGTAGTATAAAAGCTAAATTTATAAACTTAATATTAGCAGGATCCTTTACTATTTAAATTTAAAAGATACTTAATAAACTTAAAGCAGGAGATTATAAACTTATAATACTTTTTATAAATTTTTAAAATATAAAACTTATAATTATAAATTAATATAATATTATATAAACTAGATATATTAATATTTAATATAAGTAAATAATTAACTATATTAAAAAAAGAGACTTTAATATTATATAAATTAAAATCTTAAAAATAGCAGCAGATAGTTTAATAAAGCCTCTTTAATAAGTTAAACATACTAAATTTATAAAGCTCTTAAAAATAGTTATTCTTACCTAACTTATAATAATAATAAAGTAGTATAACTTATTATATCCTTACTCCTTATAGCACTAACTTTATAGCTTGCCTAAAGCAAGGTTCTTAAAAGCTATAATAGCTTTACTTTTAAAGCCTAAGAGCCCTTAGCTTCCCCTTATTTTATCTTTTTTATATTTTTTCCTTATTCTTTATTTCTCTTTTTTTATTTAGCAGAATAAATCTATAATAAAGAAACTTATAAAATAAAAAGCACTTTACTTATAGTACTAACTTTATAGCTTAACCAGCCCTTAAGTAACACTTTAAGATTAATAGCTATTTTAACTAACTAGATTTACCTTAAGAAAAAGGCTATTTAAAGTCTAGGCTTAATAAAGCGCATTAACTATACTAAAGTTATTAGTCTTATAAATAGTAAGACTACTAAAAAGGATCTACTTAAAAAAAAGGGCTAGATATACTTTATCTTAAAAAAAGCTCTATCTTAATAAAGGCTATATATAAAAAGGTTTTCTTATAATATATCCTCTTTTATTTATTATAGCAAGATGCCTTATCTTTTAATAAGCTTTATATTATTAAATGTTATTTTTATTAAGTTTAGTTATAGCCCTTATAGTCTTAAAGGGGATATATTATATATACTCTAGTATATAACCTTAGTTATAACTATAGTCTACTATAGCATAGCCTGTGTATTATTATTTTTCCTCTCCTAAATAGCTTTAGTTAGCTAAATTAAGCCTTTTTCTTCCCTAAGGGTTATTATAAAAACAACTGCGTTTCCTATCCTAGCTCTACTAAAATAAGAGATATATTAATTTATAAAAGAGTTATTAATTTATAAAAAAAAGGTATATTTATTAAAGTATATATACTATATAAAATAAAGTACTATAAAAACTATAAATTCTATAATTCTTATTAAAAAAATACTATTAAGCTGCTTCTTAATATAATATAATACTATATTTAAGTAAAATAGCCTTTTTAAGTATAGAAATAATAATTTTCTAAAATAATATATTAATTTATATAGTATATATACTAAGGTTAAAGTATTTTATAAGTTAATAACCTTTTTATAAATTAATATCCCCTTTAACTTAGTAAAGCTTAGTTAGGGAATATAGTTATTTTTTAAGACCCCTTAAGTAGTGTTTATTACCTTTTTACTTTAAAAAAAAAGTAATTAGCTTATTAAATATATATTTTAAGCTAAATATTATTTTTAAACTGCTTATAACTACTATTAGGTTTATAAGTATATAGACTAAGATTAAAAAGCAGCTATTAGTTAAAAAGTAATATTAAAAAATAAGTTTTATATAATTTATAATTATTATAGCGCCTTTATAATAAAGGCTTAGTCTTAAATTAAATAATTATAAATAATTAAGACTATAAGATAATAATTATAATATCTTAAAATACCTTAAACTTTAATACCCTTTTTATAAAAAATACACTTTATATAATATCTTTATACTTATAGCCTTAACTAAGTCTTATATTAATAATATTAAATCTATAATATTTAAAAAAGTAAACTATAGCTTTTTTTAAAATTAATAATATAAAAAAATAATTAATAAAATCTAAGCCTTAAGGGATAATAATACCTAGATCTTTATTAACCTTAACCTTAATATAAATATCTTATATAATAAATAAGTTTATAAGCTAAAAAGAGAATTAATAACTAAATAACTAGATATAAAGTATATTAAATTATTTAAAGCTTTAAATAAATTACTAAAGTTAATTATATTAAGATATTTATATTTATTATAAAGCTAATAATTTATAAGGCTTTATTTATAATAGTAGCTGCCTTAAATTTAAAAATTAAGTAAATAAATATTAAAATAGCCTTTTTATATAATAAGGTTAAAGAAGATATTTATATTAAATAACTTATAGGATTTTAAAGTAATTTAAAGTAAGTTTATAAGTTAAAAAAAGTATTATATAGTTTAAAGTAAGTATTAAAGGTTTAATATAAAACCTTTATTAATTTTCTTATTACTTTTAGCTTTAAAATAGTATTAGTAAATAATAAACTTTATATTAAAAATAATATATTTATAATTATTTATATTAATAACTTACTACTAATTAATAAAAATAAGTTTAAGATTTTTAAACTTAAAAATACCTTATATTAGTATTTTTTTATAATTAACTTAAAACTATATTATTACTATTTTAATATAAAAGTTTATTAAAATAAAAAAGCCTAAGTAATTATTTTTAATTAGTAAGGCTATATTTAAAAGATTTTTTATTAATATAATATAACTAATTATATATTAGTGCTAATATTAATAATTAAAAAAAGACTATAAAAGGCTAAGGCTAACTTCTTATATTAAATAAAAGAAAGGAAAGAATATTAGTTAATAATTAAGTCTTTAATATACTTAATATTAAGAGTCCTCTTATTTAAACTATAGTAAATCTCTATTTAAATTATAATAGTCTATGCCTGTTTAAAAATTTATATATTTACACCTACAGTCCTAGGCCTATATATCTATTTATAGTGTAAATTTATAATATACTCTATAGCTTATATAATAACACTATAATATTATTAATTATAGCTATTTTTTTACCCTTACTCTTAATTACAGCTTTTAACACTTTAATTATTAGTATTATAGTAAATCCCTCTTATTTAGCCTACCTTAATTATAATTTTATATATATAAGAAATAAAGAAAGAGTATTACTATTTAGGCACTAATAGATTACTATCTAGGCACTAGTAGAAGTACCTTAAAATTTTCCTTTAGGTATATTTAAAAAAATTAAGGAAAATATAAAAAAAATATAATTAGCTTAAGCCTAGGCTAAAGAGCTTAGTAATATTTTTTCTATATTTTTTATCCTTACTTAGTAGCTTATAAAGAGGTAGAAACTTAGACTATTTTAAAGCTATATTTTATATACTATATAATAAATAAATTAGGTAACTTTTTATATAGCTATATAGCTTTTTATTTAAATTTTAATATTTTTAAAAGTGTATACTTTAAAAAGTACTACTTAGCTAAAAAATGCTATCTTAAGAAGAAATTAGTTTTTAAAGCTATATATAGGCTAAAAAATAAAAATAAAATAAAATATATATAATTAAACTATATAAAGAAGCTAAAAATTTAATTATTTCT